CGCACACCACCAGCGCGAAATACCTCGGCATCTTGATCGATGAACGAATGGCCTGGCAACCGCAAGTTGACCGGTGCATCTCACGCACTGCTAGGAAGATTGGTAGTCTGTGGCGGGCGCGACGTTGCCTCACTCTAGCTAGTCGAAGAAAGTACTTCCTATCTGTCATCATGCCGGATTTGATATATGGATCGTCCGCCTATGGCTCTGGCTTGACCCACAACCAGCTAAACCGCTTGCAGGTGGCCCAAAACCGCGCAGCAAGGGCGGTGTTCGGACGACCACGATTTACCAGGGCCAGTGACCTCTTGGAGAGGCTCTCTGTTTATCGCGTGGACGAGGTATATCGCCAGAAACTGCTCGTGCTGGTATGGCGGTGCGTTCATAACCGTGCCAGTCCTGCTCTGCAGGCACTGTTTGTCAGCAACTGCGGAGCAACTCGCCTTCAGCGCAGTCTGGGCCTGCAACAACCAATAGCCAGAAGCCGAGCAGGCCAATGCCGACCGGCATCTCGCGGTTGCCTGTTATGGAACCATATACCTGACACGGTGCGAGCCATGGGCAACATCCCAGCATTCCGCCGAGCTGCCATTCCCTACACGTTGTAGACTGCTACACAATTGGTCACACCATGGTATTCAGTACCCACGAACTTTGCAAAGCCGCGCCGATAATATGATAATGTACCGTGGTGCATGCACCGATGGTACCACCACTTCGTAGACTGCCTCCCGTTCATTTCTGTGCTCCTGTCTTTATTCTCGTCAGCTGTGTACATCAGCAGTTCAATTCTGTGCTCCAGTCCTCTTTATTCTCGTGAGCTGTGTACTTGTTTTGCTGTTTGTTTGGTTTATTTGAATTCGCTCAGTAACCGTTTACTTCAGCTATTCTCTCCTCCCTCTTCTGAATTTGACTCTCCGCTGGCCTTCTCTCCTCCCATCCCCTTACATTGTATTGGGCCTCCGCAGCTCCCCCCTCCACGCACACACTACGTTGTCACATAGCACAACTCAACCATTCGCTACCCTGTTATTGAGCACTCCTGCTCGTTTGGTCTCGCGAATCCAAATAAAATCAATCAATCAATCAATCAATCATGAAATGCGTCACAAAAAGCGTGTCGTCCACACCGAAAACCGGGAGCGCGCAAAGGCAGCCAGGAACAAAATAGTGGACACGAGCGATGAGATGACGAAGCGACGAATAGAAGAACACACGGAGAAAGGATCATCCTCATGGCTGAGCGTGCTGCCCCTGGCGGAGCATGGCTTTCGTCTCACCAAGCGTGACTTCCGGGATGCTCTGGCATTGAGATATGCATGGCCGCTAGCCAATACACCGGCAACCTGTGTGTGTGGTGAGCTGTTCTCAGTTGAGCATCAGCTATGTTGCGCCAGGGGCGGCTTCCCGACACTTCGTCATAACGAGATACGTGACCTGCTGGCGAGGGAATTGACTGAAGTCTGCACTGCCGTTTCGACAGAACCAGCGCTGCAACCTCTTTCTGGTGAGAGGTTTCCTCTTCGGTCAACGAACCGCCGAGAGGATGCGCGCCTGGACATAGCCGCTCGAGGGTTTTGGACCCGTGGGGAGGAAGCTTTTTTTGATGTAAGGGTATTTTGCCCAGATGCTCCTTCCTACGGGTCCAGAACCCTTCCTACATTGTACCAGCAGCACGAGCGGCGTAAGTGGAACGAATATGGGCCAAGAGTCACAAATGTAGAAAGAGCCGCTTTCACACCTCTCGTGTTCTCTGTGCATGGTGGTTGTGGGAGGCTGTGCAATGTGTTCCTCAAGAGACTGTGCCAGATGCAGGCCGAGTCATCGGGATCTCACTATTCCCAGGTCATTGGTTTACTCCGCTGTCGGCTGTCTTTTGCTTTGCTGCGTGCTGCTGTGTTGTGCATACGTGGGGCTCGGTCACGGTACCACCATCCGGCGAGATGTTTTCATGATGTCTCGATTGCCGTGGCCGAGTCAGGTCTAGTTTGTTAAGTATCGTGCTGTGTCCTGACTGTGCATGCGGGATTGGTATGGCGCTTACCCTTTTGTTGCTGTTTTGTTGCTTTCATGCCTTTAAGCATGTAATTGTGTTCAATTGTTGTATTTCATGGAAAAACGATCTTTGCGTTGGATTCATTTAAACTATTATTTGTGTAGGGTTCCACTCCTTCAAAAAAAAAAAAAAAAAAAAAAAAAAATCATCATCATCATCATCATCATCATTTGAACAGCCTCTTCTACGGGCAAGCAAAAACGCAATACATCAAAATTCAAATAGAATGAAAAAGAGAGGAAAATGAACACAAAGTGCACTGGAACTCAATATAAAAAGGAACGCAAAGTGCAGTTGAACACAATGAGCATGGGGCATGGGGCCACCAATCGGAGAAGACCGGCTCATGATGGAAAATAAAAGAACAAACATAAGACACCCGTACACATCAACGTGCTCTAACGGTATGGCAGCTTGTTAAAAAGCTGTGGCGCTGGCGCTTGTATGATGCCCGCGAACCACGTATGCAGGTAATACACCACCGGAGCAAACACAGCGACAATACAGATCGAAGTTGTCCCATGACTACAGAATAATGTAACTCAGGATTTTTCTCAACAACAAGCGATACCAAATTTTTCAAAAAACGAGACCCCTCTGGCCCACACATGCCTGAAGTTGAAAAAACTAACGGTGTAAATGATGCTCTCTCTACAATATTTACACGGGCACAATATTCTCTCTTTTTGGCCTGTTCATGGGTCTTCAGCTGACGCAGGACGTCTGTACGCGACAGCAGGCTTGCCTTCGGGTGTGTTACCCGTACATCAAAAAAGGCATCCTGCTGCCGGGTCCAGAAGCCCCGCGCCCTGATATCCAGACGCGCCTCCAAAGACCGGTTCGCAGTTCGATGTGGTAGTGTTTCTCCTTCGAACGGCTTGAGAAGAGGCTCCTTCTCCACATCTGGTAGTATTTCCCGAATAGCTTCTGACAGAATGTCCCGGATCTCGTTATGTCTTGCAATTGGGTAACCACCCGCCGGGCAACTCATGGCATGATCTATTGTCATGTCTTGCCCACAAATACAGGAACTGGACACTCCCTCCAATGACAAACCATATCGAATACAAACAGCATCACGAAAATCCGATTTGTTCAGGATTGAACTGGGCGTTATGAAAGACGGCATGGAGGATAACCAATTTGAAACACCCTTCTCACCAGCCGTTTCCAACAAAAGCTGTTGCGCCGGCGGTAGCATGGGGCGCAACTGTGCCACTCTTTAATACTGTTTCTTTTGCCGCTGCTGACGTGACTGCATCATCATCATCATCATCATCATCATCAACTGTGATTGTATTTCCAGCAATTATATTTAGGTATATTAGAAATAAAAGTCTAGTTATGGGAAACTAGACAAAAAAAAGAAGAAGATTATTCTGTGGTATGTAGAAAACAATAACATCAACATCAATAACTCATTAGAAATAAATTGACATGGTGCAGGGTGTGAATAATTGTGATTGTCAACCACCACCACCACCACCATTACATCACATCACTGTTCAGTCATCCGGCAGTGTGATGCGGTGGTGTCCATGCGCAAGTGTGCTGACACCGTCGGCTAAGAAGTAAGATGTACCGCTTACTGTGGAATGGTGCACAGCTCTGATGACATCTTCCTCTTCCTCTGCACGGAGTAGTTTAACGGAGATCCTTCTTCTTACATTCTCCATTGTCTTCCCAGACACATTGTTCATATTGTTCATAAGTTTGAAGAAGTCCTTGTCAAACTCGTTGACGGCCTTCTTCCGAAGCTCAGTGAGCAGAGCGAGTGAAATCTCTGTATGCTTTAGAAGAGCCCACGCGAATCCAGGCAGGGTGTAGTAGTGTGTCGGATCTAAATCGTACGTGAGCATTGCAGTGCATCTGAATTTCTCAAAAACATCTGCAAGAAGGTGCACATCGGTCTTTAGGTAGAGATCATGGTAGTCACCCCTGAGTTTAACCGACATGTCTAACGCATCAGGTTGCTCCCATGTTTCATGTGTACTTCCAGCAGAAACTCCACTGTGTTTGGAATTAAGACGTCCATTTCCAGTTGAAGAGATGGTTTCACAGGAGATGCACGTTGCTCGTACGCGCTGAACGTGGGAAAACGCGATCTCCCCTCTTCCACTTGAGATGGTGAAGCAGACGTTGTTACATCCACTTCGCTTTGGCCAGGGTTTCAAAATGGCTTTTTTGAGGCGTCACTGACATCATTGATATCGATGTGACGACAGGCTACTATCGAATAGGAGGCACGATAGTGCAATAGCATAGTTGAGGCTTTTGTACAAAACAGGATTTCTTCAGAGAATGTAGCGTTTCTTGCAGGGGGGTGAAGGTTGAAGTGAGCTGAGAGGAAGTCACCAATGTTTGTTTTCTTCAGAAAACTAATTAGATGTCTGTCGACGCCTAGGAGACGCTGTCGAGATTGATAGCATCTTTTTTCTGGCATGCATCGCTTTGTTTTGAAAATCATGCTCCGGTGCGTCCATTTATCACGGCCTCGGTCACGTGATTGCAACAATCATCACCTGCAGGAGAGCCCTTTGGCTGTCGAACGTAATTGATGAGCGCGTCGAATTGATCACACAGGTCCATGCTGTTCAGGAAATGGCGTCTGTGCGTCGTCTACATCCGTCTATAGACTATAATGCGGAGCTGACGAGTGCCTATCGAAAAACTCCAATACGGCAATAGAGGAGATTATTACTGACCAATCGAATCTAAATCTGCAGAATATGGTAGATTTCCTCTACGACTCGAATCTCGTCAAGGGCTTTTACAACGTGCCAAAAAACAACTGTCACATGTTTTGCCACCGCTCTGTTCAACGAACTTGCAGCTACCCAATACGTCGATCACATCGAACTTCAACGTTCCAAACCCATCAACTCGGAACATGCAATTGAATGAGAACTCGACCCCTTTCACACAAACATTTAACACAGATATGTTGGTTTTAAACTTTTTATTATAAACACAGGAGCTCCGCCTGGGCTTGCGCCATCTTCGTCACGCTGTTAATGGGCAACACCCCGTAGAAGTTGATAAGCCTCTGAAGGTAGTTGTTGATGTGTCGGGACGTTGTAACGTGATCCTTCATTGCCCCAAGATCAATCCACTCGTCATCGCTGCATGGGGGAAAAAGATAAAACAAGATGTATAAGATCTCCTGTATTTCAAATAAAGATAATTGTATAACAGATCACTTACCAGCTACATTTATAAACCGGCTGACGACCAGCCTCCAGGTTCTTCCGATGTCCTTTTGATTTGACGTGGTCAACGAACGGCTGGAGGCCGGTCGTAGTCTTAAGACATAAGTCACAGCTGAATTGCATCTTTGTTTTGAAGAAGAAGAAGAAGACGATCTTCAGGCAGGAGTTGAATGGGACTCATCAAGGCGGCTCCAATCACTTTTATCCCCATCCAGTTGTTTGATGCTCGTTGGTTGAAGGGTAGTCTGGCAATACCTAGAATATTCCAGAATATCATAATTCAATTTCAAAAAAACCATCCCAGACAGTCAATCTTACTAACACCACACCCACCACTTTAAAAGAAATGCTTATGTCGCCGATAGGCACTTCAAACACCACTTCACATTTCAAGTGGCCACTTAATTAGCCCACCTCCACCACCTCCACGACAACAAGACGGACAACAACAACATCAACAGAATGAAACCCTACAAGTCTACAAGGAATGTATGGTAAAAAGAAGAGAGGTGAGGGCTGACAACACCGTTCACGTGACGGCGATTACAACAAAAACATACACCTATCAGAACGGGGAGCAATACACAGACGTGTCAATGTATCAAGGAATAGACAATGTAATATAAAGACCACCTATGTGTGTCTTTTTGCATCTACAAGTATGTACAGTGAAACCTCGTTAAGAAGAACACTGATACGACAAACTTTCGCTTTAGAAGAACACACTGTTAGCGGAACACTCCCGGAGACTCAAGCAAACACAGAACTGGTGCTCACTGAATTCCCATTTGGAAAAATGTGGATGCCGGTACCATGTGCCACTTGGGTTATACATTCTAGTTGGATACCCTGCAGATGCTGCAGAGCGCGGGACAAAGGAGATACGCTACTGGATGTCACACTGTCAAACACCCAGGAAGAACAAGTGCACGCTGTCATTCACTTCCAACCCACTCCATGCCAATCAAGCCGTACTGAGAATGGACAATACCATCACAGGCGTGTACAGAAACTACAACATTTATGATTCATTCCGTTTTCTTTACCAAGTGTATTGATAAATTATAATAAAACATTTTTAATGAATAACGTCATGTATTATGATGATGATGATTTGAGTGTGTGTGTGTGTGTGTGTGTGTGTGTGTGTGTGTGTGTGTGTGTGTGTGTGTGTCTACATGTCAAATAATATAGCTCAAAGTGAGGGAGGCAAGGATAGACATAATAGTAATCAATGTGAGCATTTGTGGAATTCCACAATTCGTGAATGTTGACTGAGTTTGCTGACAACGCTTGTAGTGCACCACGTCAATAGCATGCAGTTCTTGATCGAAGAACTCAACTAGAGTGCAGTGCAGCTCATGATCGTATCCTCTCAGCGACACTTCTTCACACAAGAGAATGAGCAGTGCAACCAACACGATGATCATACTAATGTTGTTACTGGAAGAGGTGCTCTTCACCTTCTTGAACACGCAGGATAGGTTCTTCATGAGGTGGCGTTGAGCAATGTCCGACTTGCCAGTAGCAGTACTAGGCGTACTTCCATCAGGGGTTGGATCAACTGGAAACAGCAGCTTCACTACATCAAGTAGTTCTTTCCGCCCGCAGCAAGCCATGTCCTTGGCAGCAATCCAGATCAAGTTGGTTATGGGGTGACTTTCAACAACTGCTTGATCATATCCATGGTCTCCATTGAAAGGTTCCACCAGGTTTGTCAGCGAGGTTGCGATTCCTAACCGCGCAGCACAACGCATCAGCGCACCCATTGTACAATGGCCGTCCTCACCATGATCTTTCAAAATAGACCACATGTTCATGATCTTGTTGTTGTTGTTGTTGTTGTTGTTGTTGTTGTTGTTCTTCTTCTTCTTCTTCTTCTTCTTCTTCACCAAAGTAATAGCAAGGATGAAGACAACAACAACAATTACTTGTGACTTGGCAAGGATGCTTTGCGAAATGATGGAAAATTAAGATGTCAGGGGTTTTATACAGCGGCAACGGTACCCTTCATCATCATCTTCCTCGCCCTACACATGGCACTTGAGAAACGGTACAGCGCACATTTCGTCTCCGCAGGAATTAATTCCACACGAGGTTCACAGCACCCGTAAGATTGGATTAGTCTTTGCATCAGTTCCTTCTCCTCAGAATTAAACTCTCGGATATTCTGCTTAAACTTCTTCAGCTGAAAAGGGGTAAGAGGTTTTGTACGGATTAGAAGTTGGCGGAGCCAGGCTTTCGAAAATTGCTGCGGTTTGCAACTCATTAGCTTGCTGGATCGTGCCCACGCCACATGGCTCTTTGGAAGATATGGCTGAAGCTTCTGGCAAATCTCGTCGTGCTCAGCACAGATGCATGTCAGAGCTATGGCATAGTTCAGGCTCTTGTAGCCACTCTCCTTCTTCATGTACTGCAACGGTTCCAGCACACCGTGAAGGTTCAGCAGGACACCGGTCTTCTGCATGAAGCGTACCAGATGTCTGTCGACGGCAGTCAATCGCTCCCGAGCCGCATATAGCCGTGGGAGAATGCATCTCTCTGTAAAATTCACCTCCGGCAACAGCACGCTATCAAGAACAAGTCCGCATACAGTACACACAAAGTGCCCCTCGTTCACAACTTGATGATTATGAAAACATTTGTCAATGTTTGGACTAGGAGGAGGGGCATCAGGACAAGGGTCATCGTCATGCTCAACGACGGCGCGTTGACGCTCCTTGTACGCACGCAGTATTTCAAATTGCTCTTCAATATCCATGATGCTAACTGATCACATTTTCCAGTAAACGCTGCATCATATATCAATCCTGGGAATACCTAGAAGTTTCCAGAACACATTCCCAGACAGTGACTCTTATTAACAACCACACCCACCACTTTAAAAGCAATTATGACGCCGAGAGGCACTTCAAACACCACTTAGTCATTAATCCAATTAAATATGACACCTGGCCCACTTCAAAACCACTTCAGATCTCAAGTGGCCACTTCATTACCACTTATCCAATTAAAAGGTCAAGTGGCCACTTAATTAACAACCGCAAAGTTCAAGTACCCATTCATAAGGTCAAGTGGGTTCAACCCTTGTCCCAGGACCCGCTCGGTCACTACTACTACAGTCTCTCTCCAGTGCTTTTCACCATTTACCTGGAGGCTGCTCTCCGGGACCTACGACAGGAGCTGCCATCTCGCCCTGCTGTGGACAATGACCTGCCGCTGGATATCGCATACGCGGACGATGTTGATTTTGTGAGCCGGGATGAGACGTTTCTCAGTGAAGTTGAACAACAAGCTCCAGCAGTTCTTGCGAGATGGAACCTGAACGTTAATCCCTCCAAGACAGAGCATACCACCGTCGCCCGATTTCCCGATAGGAACCAAGAAATTGCCCTATCAAAAATTTAATAATAATAATAATAATACTTTAAAACGAAGGTAAGTTATGGGTCGCAAATATCCACGCAAACACACATCCAGTCATAATAAGGCACTTGTCATAAGTATCCGAACGTTTTCGGTCCCTTCTCATCAAGTTGTGTTCCGCTTGATGCGCGCGATTGTCGTCCTCGCCGTGGTCGTCCTCCAAAATGTGCTGTCCAGTCCATCGGAGGATCTTCCTCTTCCCGTGAAGATGTGACTGCATGCCCGTCCTCCTCTGCGTGTGTAGGACACGGGCCAGCTGAGAACAGCATAAAAGATGGTGAAAGACCCACACGTAAACCACCGAAACTGACAAAGGATCTGTCGGCGTCGGAAAGGGTGACGAGAAGCCAAGTGAAAGTACGGACTGATGAGGACGAACGTACAACGACAACGGAAGTGACAACAACAGTCAATATTCGAAAACGTGGTAGACCGCGAAAACTAACCTCAATATCGGACACCGGACAAGTTGGAGTAAGAAGCTCAATAGAAATCCGCAATGGAGGAGACGTAACGGAAAGGACACCGGGTATCGCGCACCCAACGGTTAGTGTCAAGAAACGTGGAAGGCCGCGGAAACGCGAAGAGACAGATAGTGGTGATGCCACGAAGAGGCGAGATGACGGGACATTGGAGGAGACAACACCCAATGGAGCTAAGAATCGCACTTCGTCAATCAAGCAACATCTGTCAGCCCGTACCAATTGTCGTGAGTTGTACAGTGATAATGTTTTCTCAATATTGTCACGTGGTAGATGTGCGTTACATTTGGCTGTGTTAGAAGCTTTGTATATCCGTAAGTTAGATCCTGAACTTTGCGTACAGAAAGAAAATGTGTTGTCGCTACAATTGTTTGGTGTTACTCCTCGTCGAGGTGGTAACAATGTAACTTAATTTGCTCACTATGTTGTTGTCACTATTATTATTTTCCTTCGAGTTTTGTGTCGTGCTAAACTTGATAATTTTCCACCTTGTCACGAGTGTTGTTATCTAATTATCTTTACGCTATATAAGTTTTAGTCTTTCCAGCTTGAGCCATTCCCTGTATAATCCTTGATGAGAAGGGACCGAAAACGTTCGGATACTTATGACAAGTGCCTTATTATGACTGGATGTGTGTTTGCGTGGATATTTGCGATCCATAACTTACCTTCGTTTTAAAGTATTATCCGCCTCCGACCTCCTTTAAAAAATAATAATAATAATATTAATAATGATGTGCATGCATGGACGGGTACATGTCCTGTAGGCCATACATGTACATGTATGGTTCCCTGATGCCAATATGACACTGTACATGCTTCGAATCAGGGAGTCGTAAAATACCAATATTTTTACGACTCCCTGCTTCGAATGAATTTGGCAGCCATCTTGTTGCCATGGCAACGGGTGAATAATTAATTATTTTCGCACATTGGGTGATTTTTTGAATTTTTTTAGATTTTTTTCAAATCTATCCATTTTTGAGAATAACATCATTCCCCCAAAAAATCGAGTTTTACATCCACATCTTTCCAATATTTTTTCGAATAATAGGGACCTTTCGCACCCCGCGTACGGATACGAAACGAATGCTGATTCGTCACCTGGGTTCGAGGATTCGTCAGAGTCCCTGCGGAGAACTCGTTTTCACGAATGGAAGCCTCTTCATTCGTGGCACGCTCCGAATCCGTCAGGTACACATTTATTTGGGTAGGTACACATGTTTTGCAAGGTACACATTTTTCCCTTGATTCCATGATCCATGCACGTGTGCGTGTAAAAACCCGTACGCCAAGCTACCGGCGCCCGCGGCCGTATTCGTAGTTGCCATGCACATTTGCATGACGACTTGCGAAACCTGAAATCTGTTTTCAACGAAACGATTACGAGCCGAATCAAACTTTCGTTTCGCATTCGTTTCGTAGCAAATGCGAAAGGTCCCTAATGTCAGCCCTCACCAACGCTGTACAAAGCGTCACTGGCCCGTTTCTCAACGGTCGCGCAAATCGACCAATCAGCGTACAGCTAATGTACCAAAATTCTCAAACTTACCGTAATTCCTTGGTTCATACGGTGTAGTTTCCAAAGATTTTTTATGGGCCAACGTCTTCTTTCGATAGATACCAACAGATCGTCCGCTTCGAATTTTTCGATTTGATTGCCGTTTGGCCGAAAATTACCTCCGAAACCGGCCTCCACTCGTTTCACTTCAAGGCTTTCCAGGTGGACGGCATCGCAATTCGGAAGCGGAGAAAGGATAGCCAGTGAAAAAAGAAAAACAACGACGTATTGGTTGTCGAAATCGACCAAGAAATGAATTCAATAGACCTGTTTCCGTGCTGCGCCCTCGCGGCCCGCGCGAGTGCGAAAGGGATTCTTTCTCGACAAAACAAACAACTACTAGTACGCGCAGTACACTGACATCACTGCACTGGCTGTATATACCTTAGGAATATCCTGTTCATTTCCAAGGCATGATTGTCGCTAGTGGGAGAACTCAGCCACCTGAAGCTTTCATAAAGGAAGAAGTAGTAGGTGAATGAGTTCGCCAGAAAATGGAACGACAAGAAAATAGATACTGTTGCTTTCCGGGGCGCTCATGAGACGACGGCAAGATAGGACTGAAACGATCGACAGTCTGCCTCGACGCAAAATAAACTCTTCTAGGAGGAGCTCGACGTGCTGTAGAGTTTGCAGTATTCTGCTGGAAGAAGACAAGAGAACTAAACTCAGACTACAGCGTGGAGCTGAAGCACGAGCGAAGCAAAACCTGAAGCAAAAGCTGAGATTAGTTCGAAGAAATGGGGAAACACAGGAAAATGAGTGGGCGACATGATCTTTAGCTCGTGAGCTCGAAGCTCGCACTGAGACACGCGGTGGGCACGTGCGCCTACGGGTAGCGCGGCCAGCCACCATGTTTTCAAAATGGAGGTCGACGCTTTTGAAATCCGTGTAGACGATGGTGAGGGCTGAATGTGGAAAAGCCTACCAATGATGCGCCAGTGACTCACATGATACGTCATGCAAACTTTTCTTCTTCCCCCGGGGGATTCCCTTTTGGATAGAGTAGTTTCAAAACTTTCGAATCAATCGAAAGTCAAAGAGCAAAAAGTGGAAAAGTGAGTGTTCAGAATACCAACTACTGGTACTTCACCCAGGCTGGGAGTTTCTCCTGCTGCAGAAGTAATATTCTCCGCGGAATCAGCTACACTTCTGTCGTTGTGCTCGTGCTAATTGGTAGATTTTCAGGCGACAGTCTAATCACTTCACACAGCTCCAGGTAAAGTTGAAAGAAGGACGTATGTGACACCTGATTTTAGTTAGTGGATTGAACCAATTATTCATTTTGCTGATTCACTTAGTATCCTGGTACTTCCGTCAAAAGCTAACAGACCACTCGTTCCTACTGATTGGACTGCGAAGTTTCAAATTAGTCAAGAAATCTTTCTGACCTGTTCGGATTAAGATTTGTTTGGGAAAGAGTCTAGTTATCGGTGCACGTGTACTTGTGGAAACCTAGTAGTGCCTGCGCATCGCAACACTGGGCTGGCAATGGCCTCTGCCGATGGCATAGCGGCCTGTCCGCCGACATTGCCCTCTAAGAAAGATGGCCGCGTACCCGTCTGGTTCTGGGACCGCGGCTCAGACTGGTGTCCGTACGAGCCAGCGGCGAGTCAGCTTCTGGAGGCAGCCCACGCCAACTCTAAAACAGCATCATCATCATCAGCAGCAGCAGTAGCAGGCGCATCCTCAGCAGCTGCCTCTGCCCCTGTTCAGCCAGCGGTGACCTTTGGACAATCTTGTCCCGGTCTTCTCGGCTATGAGGTGGACGTTCTGGCCATGGTGCAGCGAAACTTAGCCACAGGTGAGTTTTAAAACGAAGACGAACTCAATCAACAGCGCAGAAAGGCAGGTTCACCACCCCTGTATGACAACTTCCCCCATGTCTAACCCCCAAGACGAAATGAATACTGTAGTAGTCATACTGGCCAAAGTCACAGTAAAAAAAACACAAAAAAACCAAAAAAAAACCAGCACAACAGCAATACCAGAGGGATAAAACCAAACAAAGGGTTCAACGTATGTTGCGAGGCGAGTGCGTCACGAGTCAGTTGAGCATTCACCTCTTCATTTCCATGCTGTGTACACGTTCGTCACCCGCTCCCGCTCGCATTGCACTCGCCCCGCGGCCCGAGATGCAACGGCTGCTGCAAGTGATACTGTGGCGGCGTTGTACTCTGCGCCAGGCAGGAGCGAAACGCAACGTTTGGAGTACTCGCACTCGTGTATGTAAGTGTATGTGTGCGTGCGTCTGTGGGTGGGCGTTGGTGTGTATGTGTATGGGCATGTGGAAGTATGCATGCACGTATGCGTGCACGTACAATGCCCTTGTTTGCTTGAACGCTGTGCATGCAGCTGTGTGTGTGTGTGTGTGTGTGTGTGTGTGTGTGTGTGTGTGTGGCTACGTAGCAGAGGAGGCTTTGCGGGCATAAGTGCCAGCTAGGCGATGACGACCAGCCGCCGGCCCCTGCCCCTGCTCCTCTTGTTGTTCCGGGTGTAACTTGCACAACCTGCCAGCGTTCGTTTAAATCGGCTGCGGGTCTCAAGCGTCACCGTTGTGGAACCTGTCCAAAGCGCCCCACTATGGCTGAACGCCAGCATTTCAAGTTTCACTGCCAAGTTTGCCACAACCGACGGTTCCGGAGGCGGCAAGATCTGGATCGCCACTTGGAGCATTGCCTTCCTCCCCCCCCCCTAACCTCTCTGACAGTACCTCCCATTTGGGAGCGGCGTGGCCAATTTCTGGCAGCTGTCAATAGTAGTAGTAGTAGTAGTAGTAGTGTGTGTGTGTGTGTGTGTGTGTGTGTGTGTGTGTGTGTGTGTGTGTGTGTGTGTGTGTGTGTGTGTGTGTGTGTGTGTGTGCGTGTGTGTGTGCACTAAAAGTCATGTCTCCTCGGCGCCTTGTGTTTTCAGGTACCGCTCGTCAAGTGAAGCGCCGGCTGTGTCGTCAGACCTCAACACTGGTACAGGGCATACACTGGGAGTTCCAGGAATATGGCACCTGGGTTGCCTATTCTAAAGCTGCAGCTAAAGTCTTAGAGGCAGCCACCTCCAGAGGCGAGGTTAGTAATGTATTGCACTATAGTCCATTAAACGAATCAGGGCCCATATGTTTTTCACAGTGTCACTTCATTCTTGTTCAAGATCGTGATGTCAATGACGTATATATAGGTCAGAAAAAGTTAACGTGATAGATGAAGTGGATACGGTGAAAACTGATTGAGATATGTGCAAAGAGGATTGTTTTAGGCAAATGTATCAGGGGCCCCGATTTGGCGAATGGACTGAAGTAACTATAGATGTATGCTGCAATCGTGGCTGTGTGACGCTCGGTTGTCCGACCCTCGGCCATCTGCTAGTCGGCTATCTGGCACAATACATGCTTGTGTTTGTGTGTACGTGTGCACTCGTGTGTGCACATGCTCAGACTTCAGTACAGCTGCCGGCACAGCCCAATGGCCAGTCGTACAAGATTGATATGAACGCCATGCACCAGACGAATCTGTCCACGGGATTCCAGCGGGCTGTCAGACGGAGGTATGCACAACCATGTGTGCTGTCTAGGCCTTAGCGTTGCCTGCTCCCGTGTTTATTGCCCGCTTCATTATTCTTTCCCTACTGGCCAAGGTTACCAATAATATTTTCAAAACGAAAAGTTTTTGTTTGGGGGCGGGTGGGTTTGATGGAGTTTCGTTTTGAAAATAATTATTGAATGCGGATGGAGAATGCCCAGTTACTTCTGGGTGTCGAAAATTGACATCAATATTTTATTGGAATTCGTTTTACCTGCAGAAAAGGTGGGTGGGTGGGTGGGGGCTGAAAAATACTAAAACTTTTCGTTTCGGAAAAACAATCGGTAACCCCGGACGGCCCCTTAGAAAGAAAAAAGGGGAGGGGGGGGGGGGGTTGTCACGTGACAATCACTCTATTCAGTTGCTATTCACGATCTGCGCTGAATTGCAAGTAAAACTATAGCGTTTCGGGTCAGCCACCCAGTCTTGCTGGCCTTATTTTTATTCTTTTTTAATTAAATTAGTCGATAGCATGTATTAAATTGGGCAAATTTTCCTGTTTGTTCCTCGACACTAGATAATACAAACAAACGGATGTCGCAATAGATTGTTTATGGCTCGCCTGCAACACAGTCGGGCGGATTTCTCCACATCCGTAAGACCGTCCCCACCATCAAGGATCAAGGCGCGTTAAGCACTTTCTGTGTGTGTGTGTGAGTGTGTGTGCATGAAATGAATTAATAAATGCTCGGTATATAAGCCGCAGGGCTGGTTTTGGTCTGAGTTTGCATGAAAAAGTGCAGGTCTGGGCTCGGAAAATACGGTACATCGAATCCCGACATGTTTTAGGAGTATTTGTGTCTGGTATTTCTTTTTTGTGTTTTGCAGGCGAGGTCCATCGTATATACCGCAAGGCAGCAATGCTGGGGTAGCATCGGCCACAACGAGACCTTCATCAACTGCAGGTACGTGTATGCGTGTGTGTGTGTGTGTGGGTGCGTGCGTGTGTGTGCGTGTGTGTGTGTGTGTGTGTGTGTGTGTGTGTGTGTGTGTGTGTGTGTGTGTGTATTACCTTCACTGGGGCAGGGGTAATTGCAGTTGGATCCCTGGACGGATACCCTGATGCCGTCAATCCTTTTTCTGCACCTTGTCCTCACCCACTTACTGAGGTGTGGTGAGCTCATAAGTGGGATCATTGTCAAGTCCACCAAGAGTTTTGGGGATTTCAGGGGGTGTCAGCCGTTGGGCGGTTCAATAGCCAATTGAGTCATCTTTCCAAGATTCCTTTTGAGTCTCTCTCCTCTCTCCCAGGGAGACCCACGTGACCAGTTTTGGCAGTGAGCAACAAGTACAAGTGTGCGTGTACCTGCGTGTGCATGCATGTGTGCGTGCGTGTGTGTGTGTGTGTGTGTGTGTGTGTGTGTGTGTGTGTGTGTGTGTCTCATATGGTGCAGTGGTATGTGCAGTCGATTTCCAATCGAGAGGTTGTGGGTTCAATTCCCGACGATTATGGTCGCACACGTCTTTCTTCTCTTTCTTGTTCTCTTCCTGACTTTTCTTTCATTCTCCTGGGTGGTTACCAACAGCCAGTGTATGCCGGAGTATGTGGTGTGGTGTGTGTGTGTAGAAAAAAGAAGAAGAAAAAAATGGAAAAATGAAAAATAAGGATTCACTGGCCAGAAAAAGTCACTTCAATCAGCTGTGTGGTGGATACCAGGCTAAAAATAGTGGCGGTCAATTCATCAGCCTTGCAAGCTGTTGAATGGTGTAATCCCAGCACAAGTTGCTATAGTTGCTATGTCTAACATAGCTGTTCGCTATCATCGCTTCCGCGATGGGCAGGTCTGAGGTCTGAGGTGTGTGTGTGTGTGTGTGTGTGTGTATGTGTGTGTGTGTGTGTGTGTGTGTGTGTGTGTGTGTCATGTATGGATGCATGTCGGCTTGCACAACTGCTTTGGAATTTTTCCTACCATTTGTAGGACAAACCTGATAATCAGTGGTAACCTACTTTCGCTGCATACTACGATACTGTCTAAGTACAAATTTTCGTTTGGGATTAACTTTCGCTATTTTCGTTAGGGGAAAGATTTCGTGAACGAAAATTTGTACTTACACAGTAGGAAGTTTATGACTTATGCGCATTGTTTTCTGTGGCAGGTTTGCCAGCAAAGAAACATTCTGGACATACATCTGCACCAGCAATGCCAGTCTCAACTGCGAGTGTGGCAGTGGCTACATCAGCTACAGTGTCAGAAGTCGCTGCAACACCATCGTCATCGCACGCTGCAGGTGTGTTTCGCTGTGTGTGTGCGTCTATACTGGTTACCCCAGCAAGTCTAGAGTGTGCATAGGTAACTGTCTTGGCCGTTTTATGCCGATGTACTCTGTGTGACGTAGACCAGGTGTGCATTGGTGGTCGATTTACATGGCTTCGCAGGTTGTGTGGATTAGACAGTTATCTGGCGCTTGTCTTGATCTGTTTCAATCAGAATCAGATCCGCGATCGTTGAAAATCTGTGGGTGCAGATCCAGTGCATTTGCAGATTTGCGTGCTTCTCTTGCGACGGGCGTATACATGGTGACATGGTGTGTGCGTGCGCGCGCGCGTGTGTGCGTGTGAAGAAGAGCCCAGTAAATTCTCTGACATGGCACACACCTGGCCTCATTGTTTTTGTAGTTCGGCGACAGTACCCTTTCCGTTGGCCACTTCAAGTTTGAGCTGACCCCGTCTGTGGCCAGTCATGTAGCTATGCATGCTTTCATTTGCTGTTGCTGCTATGGATCCTGCTGATGCTGCTAATACTGTTGCTGCTGTTGCTTGGGATGCTGTTGCTGCTATGGATCTTGCTGATGCTGCTAATACTGTTGCAGCTGCTAATGCTGTTGCTGCTGTTGCTTGGGATGCTGTTGCCGCCATGGATCTTGCTGATGCTGCTAATACTGTTGCAGCTGCTAATGCTGTTGCTGCTGTTGCTTGGGATGCTGTTCCTGCCATGGATCCTGCTGTTCCTGCCATGGATCCTGCTGATTCTGCTGCTGCTGCTGCTGCTGCTGCTGCTGCTGCTGTTGTTGCTGTGCAATCTTCTTTGATATGCCTGTGTTCAGAGAAACGCTGACGTTCTTTGTTCTTGGTTCCTGGCACTATGTCATGTTGTGCGTTTGTTGTGTTGTTCTGCAGCAGCAGCTTCTGTTGATCTAGGGTTTTGCAGTGCTGTGGCCGTGGAAGAGAATAGCACCGAGGTACCGTCTCTTTAGATTGTATTCTCTGTTATTCCTTGTGTGTGGGGGATGAAGGGCGGGGGGGGAGGCAGAAAAACCCCACGTCGAATAGCCGTGAAGTGTAGACCCGGCTGAATAGTGGCGGTCAATATTCTTCAGCCTTGCAAGCTGTTGAATGGTGCAGTCGCAGCACAAGTTGCTATGGCTTCTGCGGTGGCATCGCTATCATTGCCTTCCGTGATGGGCGTCACAAGGTCATGGGTGTGGGGAAGGGTTGGTGAATGTGGACGTGGATGGGGGAGGGGGATTATGGATGGTGAGCTTGTGTGCACCAGGCCAGGAGTGTGTTGACTTTTGAGAGTTTTATGTAGGTTTGTGGTCTACTACACACATACTTATGCACACACATACGCACACACGTATGCATATGCACACACACACACACACACACCACACACACACACACACACACACACACACACACACACACACACTACTACAGCATGACTGCCCATTGGGCAATGTCACTCCCGGAAGGGGCCAGAGTTTGGAGGGCACCGTCATTGGCAGGACTTCTGGTGCCTCGTCAAATCTTGCTGTCGTCGGAAACGCTTCGGGCAATGCATGCAGATCAGCGGCAGTGATTCCCTATCGGCTGCAGCAAGATGTTTTCCACGGTTGCAGTTATGGCGGTTAAAACCAGCCCGGGACTTGAAGCAGCGATTGCAGCGTTGACAATGCTGAAAACAGCAACTAGCGAGAGACGCCGTCAATGCCGTATCTGCATGTTCAGGGAGTGCAGGCTCGCAGCGATGAACTGCAAGCCCACCCTTACTTCGGAACCATCGGCAGCAACTGACGCACTGTGCTGAACCACGCTGTTGGTGGACGGGAAGTTGGCGCTCAGCCAAGCACTTGTACCGTGCCTTGTCTTGAGGACGAGAGAAAGCCCGGTTGCAAGATGAGCAGAGTACGGATTTCTCTACTGCCCGAGGAGGCTGAAAAACCAGAACCTGCTCTCGCCAAGCTGACCGGTCTTGTACACACGCACACACACACACACACACACACACACACACACACACACACTACTACTACTACTACTGTAGCTTGGTTGCCACAAGGGCCACACCACTCCGAAAGGAGCCAGAGTCATTGTCAGGAGCAGAAACGGAGATGACGACTCAGGTCACTCTGTCGACGGAACTGACGGTTGCAGCGAGAACAGCGAACACCATACGACGCTCTATCAGACCTGGTTGTACGATGGCCACGGTCGCACTTGTGACGTCTGAAACCAGGCACTGACTTGAACTGCCGATTGCATGTCACACACAAGAGAGAAGCTGGGACGTTGAGCGGAATAGGTGATGCCGGCGCGGACGCTTCCGATGGTTCCAGGGGCAAACAACGATGCACACGCAAGCCACCACGAGAGTGAAACCACCTCCTGCATGTACCACACTGCACAGCACCACGCTGTTCCTGGATGGGGAGACTTCGTTCTGCGCTACACTTGTGTCGTGCTTTGTCACCTACACAAGAGATTGTGGTCAGTACTGCACTCTGCACCGCGAATCACATGGGTGTCCACAACATACTGCATTTGACTTACACGGACAAGTACATAATCAATACAATGCCAACGTTGGGATCCCGGGTGCCGCCACGTAGCCAGATGTATCATCCTCTTCCGGAAATGGGTGTTGCAGATGGTCAGGTTATTGCGTAACGAGAAATCCAACAACTCCATCCCAGCATCATTGCGCTCACCAATGCAAAAGCCTCCATGGACATCCCGCCACGAACCAGAAGACTGAGGCTCAACAGCAGAACCCACACGTGCATTGAAGTCTCCAAGGACGATCAAATGATCTGAGAGAGGAACAGCCATGATAGCCTGCTGCAAATCTGCATAGAATGCGTCCTTCACTGATCGACTGGCCCGGAACGTGGGTGCATAACAAACAACCAGATGTACCCACACAGAGGATCTCTCAGCAGGGCACTGCCGCTGGGTGCCAGTACACACACACACACACACACACACACACACACACACACACACACACACACACACACACACACACACACACACACACACACACACACCTTTGACCTTTGACCTTTGACGCCCATCGCCGGAGGCGATGATAGCAATGCTACGGCAGAAGCCATAGCAACTTGTGCTGGGATTGCACCATTCAACAGCTTGCAAGGCTGAAGAATTGACCGTCACTATTCAGCCTGGTCTACACCATACAGCTATTTGAAGTGATTTTTCTGGCCAGTGAATCCCTATTTTTGGTCTTTTCATTTTTTTTCCCGCACACACATCACACCACATACTCCGGCATGCACTGGCTGTTGGTAACCACCCAGGAGAATGAAAGAAAAGTCAGGAAGAGTCTGAGAAAGAGAAGAAAGACACACACACACACACACACACACACACACACACACACACACACACACACACACACACACACACACACACACACACACACACACACACACACACACACACACACACAC